TCCATGCGCTCGTTCTCCAGTTTCTTCTCCTCCGCGCGCTTCTTGCACTCGCTTATGTAGCGTTCACGTTTCTTGCGCTCTCGCACCAAGGTCTCCTCCAGATACTGTAGCTGGTTCTGGAGGGCGGGCAGGGGACCAGGGGAGCAGCTGGCACCAGGGAGGCAGCTGGAAGGGGCTCGGGGTCAGCGGCATTCAGATCCCACGGCAGCCAGGCAGGGCCCCCCAGGCAGGTGGGCTGACACCTTGGCAATGTCCCGGGCGTTGAGGGCCTCTCGGTTCACCACGTGCAGTTCCTCCAGCTCGTGTTTGATCCTCACCACCTCGGCCTCCATGGAGTCTAGCCGGTTCTCCAAGTTAAGGCTCTCCTCCTAAGGCGTGGGTGGGAGTAGGGTGGGCCTACCGCTGCATCCTGGCCGGCCGGCCGCCCGGCTCTCCTCCCCCTCGCAAGCCGGGTCCTACCTGTAGGTAGGCCCTGAGCTGCAGGTACACACTGGTGATGTATTCCGCCTCCTCCGCCTTCATCCGGGCCTTCTCCAGTCGGTTCTCCAGGTTCCGCATTGTCTAGACATCAGCGGGCGGGCTGTCTTCTGTCCCCCCAGGTCCTCCCCTAGGACCCCGCCCCGCAGGCCGGGCCGGCCTCACCTTGGCCACCTCAGTGTTGCTGTCCTGCGCCTCGGCCATCTCCAGGCAGCGCAGGCTGTGCTGCTGCCGGAGCTCGTCCAGCCGGCCCTGCCGCAACACCACCTCGTGCCGCAGCGCGTTCAGCTGCTTCACCTTCTCGCTCAGCCGGTGGTCCAGGTGCTCTAGGGCCTGCTGCAGGGAGGGGAGCGGGAGCAGGCGCCTGAACCCCCCACCGAGCCCTTCCTCCCCTCCTTCGCTGTACTGTGGCTTCCAGGACCCCCACCTTCCAGGGGTCCACCCACCTCCCTGGCCACCCCTTCTCTGTCTCCTTTGCCTAGGCAGAGCGCGCCTGGACTCTCTGTCCATATCAATCCCCTTGGTGATCTTACGCAGTCTCAGGGTTTTCAAAGCCATTTAAACACTGAAGACACCCACATCGGGCCCCTCCCTGCAACCAAAGGCCCAGATAGCTGTCTGTGCACACTGCCTTCCAGACATGGCGCACGGGCAGCTCGAAACCATCGCGTCCCAAACTAAGCGCCTGATCATCCCCAAACCTACATTTCTCAAATCTTTCCCATCTCAGCTCATAGCAGGACCATCCTTGCAGGTGTTCAAGCCCAAAACCTTGATGACATCCTCAACTTTTTTCTCTCCCATCTACATGCAATTTGTCAGTGAACTCCCTGTTCTACTCCAAAGGTTCCCCTGGAGATATCTCTTTCCTTCCGTTTCCGCCACTTTTGTCTTCCTTTCCTAGGGCCAGGAGCAGGTAGGAAGGAATCCTTGATCTAGTGGGGGTGGAGTCATGGAAGGGGCAGGATTAGGAATGTGGGAGGAGTCAGGGAAGAGGCGGGGTCAGGGATGTAGGACGAATCTTTGATCTACTGGGGTAGAGTCACAGAGGGGGTGGGGTCAGGAATGAGGGAGATGTCCTTAAACTAGTGGAGGCAGAGGGGAGAGGATTGCCAGAGCCCAGGGGTTCTAGACCAGCCTGGGCAACTTGGTCAACACTATCTTTCACCTGAATGACCTGCTCCTGGCCTGCCCTCTTGCCTACCTGATGTCCATTTACCAGGTCTCGGATTCTGGCTAAAAAATTCACTTCCTTTTTTTTTTTTTAAACAGGGTCTCACTCTGTTGCCCAAGCTGGAGTACAGTGGCACCACCATAGCTCACTGCAGCCTCGACCTCTTGACCTCCTGGGCTCAAGTGATCCTTCTGTCGCAGCCTCCCAAGCAGCTGGGACTACAGGCGTGAGCCACTGGGCCCAGCCCTACTTTGTTCCCATAGTTGTTGTTCTTGTTATGTATGTATCTATTTAGAGACAGGGTCTCACTCTGTCACTTAGGCTGGAGTGCAGTGACATGATAATGGCCCACTGCAGCCTCAAATTTCTGGGCTCAAGGGATCCTCTTACCTCAGCTTCCTGAATAGCTGGGACTACAGGCATGCACCACCACATCCTGCTAATTTAAAAAAAAAAATCTTTTTTTTTAGAGATGGTCTTGTTATGTTGCCCAGGTTGGTCTTGAACTCCTGGCCTCATGATATCTTCCTGCCTTGGTCTCCCAAGGTGCTGGGATTATAGGCATGAGCTACCATACCTGCAACCCCTCCCCTATTTTTTAAGTCTGTTTTCCCACTGGGATATGAGGTGGGGTTTTTTGTTTTGTTTTGTTTTGTTTGAGTTGAAGTCTTACTCTGTCACCCAGACTGGAGTGCAGTGACACATGGCTAATTTTTCTTGATTTATTGTAGAGACAAGGTCTCACCAAGTTGTCCAGCTGCTCTTGAATCCCTGAGCTCAGGAAATCCTCTTGCCTTGGCCTCCCAAAGCTTTGGGATTACAGGCATGAGCCACTGCGCACAGCTGGGATCTGAGCTTTTTTAGGAGTGGAGATTTGGTTTGTTGTTTTTTTTTTTGAGTTGGAGTCTCACTATGTCGCCCAGACTGGAGTGCAGGGGGCGCTCCCGGCCACCGCAGCCTCGACCTGCTGGGCTGCGGCGATCCTTCTGCCTCAGCCTTCCGAGTAGCCGGATTACAGGCAGGCGCTACCACACCCGGCTGATTTTTTTATTTATTGTAGAGATGAGGTCTTGCTGCCCAGGCGGGTCTCGAACCCGCGGGCTAGGCAATCCACTCACCTCAGCCTCCCGAAGGCGCGGGATTACAGGCTGAGCCACTGAGCCCGGCTGGTTTGTTTTTTCATTGTACCTAATGCAATGTCAGATACAAGGACAGTACATCATAAAGATTTAATTGCATGAGCACATGAATGGTGGCTAGCGGGGAGAGAGGATTGGAGAGGAAGAGAATGGAGGCAGGACATTCAGCAGGGAGGGGACCCAGGCTGGAAACAAAGGGAGGTGGTCAGTGGGGGGCAGGGGAGCCTACCTGGCCTGTCCTGGTCTTCAGGTATGGCTTCTCTGCCTTCCATTCCTGAATCACTGCCTGGACCACCTTCTCCTCTCCCTGCAAGGAGAGCAGTCCTGTCACTTCACCCAAGCCACCTCCACCTGAGGCCAGGTGCTGTCCCCTATGTTCCAGAGCCCCTCCTTCCATCTCTTCACCCTTACCTTGAGCAGGTCTGACAGCTGTAATTCCAGAGCCTTAGTTTCCTTTCGGAGTTGGCTGATGGTCTCCTGGTTCTTCTTGATGGTACCCTGGGAGCGCTCATAAAAGGCCTTCCGGTCACCCTCTGGGAGCAGGTGAAGTGGGCAGACACAGTCATTGGGTGAGTGGGTGCAGCATCCCGGAGGAAAGACCTTTTTGCAATTGTCAACTTAATATTATAGCTGGACACGGTGGCTCATGCTTGTCATCCCAGCACTTTGGAAAGCAGAGGCAAGAGAATTACCAGAGCCCAGGGATTCGACACCAGTCTGGACAACTTGGCAAGACTTCATCTCTACAATAATAATAATAATAATAATTAGCTGGGCGTGGTGATGCATGCCTGTAGTTCCAGCTACTTGAAAGGCAGAGGTGAAAAGATAGCCTGAGCCTAGCAGGTTGAGGCTGTGGTGGCCATGAGCATGCCACTGCACTCCAGCCTGGGCGACAGAGTGAGACTCCAATTCGAAACAAAAAAAAACTTATTTTTTTATTTTTTTATTTTTGAGTTGGAGTCTCACTCTGTCGCCCAGACTGGAGTGCAGTGGCCGCTCCTGGCAACCGCAGCCTCAACCTGCTGGGCTCCGGTGATCCTTCCCCTTCAGCCTTCCAAGTAGCCGGAATTACAGGAATGCGCTACCACGCCCAGCTGATTTAAAAAAAAAAAAACCTTATTATTATAACAATACAGTTGCCTCTCAGTATACTCAGGAGGATTGGTTCTAGGGCCCCGAGTATAACAAACTCAGTGCTCAAGTCCCACATTCAGCCCTGTAGTGCCTACTGATACAAAAAGTTGGCCTTCCCGTGTTTAAGTGCTGATTATTTAAAGAAAAAAGAAGTTGGCCCTCCCATACTCAGGTTTGAATCCTGCTGAGAATACTTTATTTTTATTTATTTTTTATTTACTTATTTTTGAGTCAGAGTCTCACTCTGCCATCCAGGCTGGAGTGCAATGGCAAGCTCATGGTCACTGCAGCTTCGCCCTGCTGAGCTCAGGTGATCCTTCTGCCTCAGTCTTCCAAGTAGCTGGAACTACAGGCACGTGCCGCCATACCTGGCTAATTTTTTTGATCTATTGTAGTGATGAGGTCTCACCAAGTTGCCCAGATTGGTCTTAAACCCCTGGACTCAGGCAATCCCCTCGCCTTTGTTTCCCAAAGTGCTGGGATTACAAGCATGAGCCATTGTGCCCAACTCTTTATTTATTTTTTAGAGACAGGATCCCACACTGTCACCCAGGCTGGAGTGCAGTGGCACAATCGCAGATCACCTCAGTCTCGACCTCCTGGGCTCAGGTGACTCTCCAACCTCAGCCTTTCAAGTAGCTGGGACTACAGATGCACACCACTGCATCTGGCAAATTTTTTGATTTTTGGTAGAGATGCAGTCTTGCTATGTTGTCCATGCTGGTCTCAAACTCCTGGGATCAAGAAACCCTCCCACCTTGGCCTTCCAAAATGTTGGGGTTACAGGTGTGAGCCACTGCATCCAACCAATACTGTATTTTTTTTTTTTTTTAAGTCGGAGTCTCACTCTGTCGCCCAGACTGGAGTGCAGTGGCCGCTCCCGGCCACCGCAGCCTCGATCTGCTGGGCTCTGGCGATCCTTCCGCCTCAGCCTTCCGAGTAGCCGGAATTACAGGCGCGTGCTACCACACCTGGCTAATTTTTTAAATTATTGTAGAGATGAGGTCGCGCCTGCCCGGGCGGGTCTCGAACCCGCGAGCTCAGGCAATCCACTCACCTCAGCCTCCCAAAGGCGCGGGATTACAGGCTGAGCCACTGAGCCTGGCTTCCAATACTGTATTTTTTATCTGAATGTGGTTGTGGGTGCTGAAACTGCTAATGTAGAGGGCTGACTGTAAAAAAAAAATCCACGTACTTCAATTTCATTTTGTTCAAGGATCAATTGTACTTCACTTTGAGCATTTATCATGTGTTGGATGCAATTAGGCGACTCTTAGCCCTCCAAGGTCGAACAACTATTACAAAGAGACAGGATTGCAACACAGAAAATCTGGCTCTAAAATCAGCCAGGTGCAGTGGCTCATGCTTGTGAAATCCTAGCACTTTGGAAGGCTGAGGTGGGAGGATCGCTTGAGCCCCTGAGTTTGAGACCAGTATTGGCAACATAGAGAGATCTGGTTCCTACAAAAAATAAAAAATCAGCCGGGTGAGGTGGCACATGCCTGTAATCCTATCTACTTGGGAGACTGAGACTGAAGGATTGCCTGCGCCCAGGAGTATGAGGCTGGGGAGCCCTGATCATGCCATTGCACTCCAGCCTGGGTGACAGGAAAATAAAATAAAATCTATGCTCTTGGCCGGGCTCAGTGGCTCAGCCTGTAATCCCAGCACTTTGGGAGGCTGTGGCAAGTGGATTGCCTGAGCCCGCGGATTTGAGACCACCCTGGGCAACTTGGCGAGACCTTGTTTCTAAAACACATAAAAAATTAATTGGGCATGGTAGTACGCCCTTGTAATTCCGGCTACTTGGAAGGCTGAGGCGGAAGGATTGCTGGAGTCCAGCAGGTTGACGCTGGGGTGGCTATGAGAGTGCCACTGCACTCCAGTCTGGGCGACAGAGTGAGACTCCAACTAAAACAAACAAACACGCTTTGGGAGGCCGAGGTGCGTGGATTGCCTGAGCCAATAAAATAAAATAAAAATAAAAATAAAGCAAACAAACAAAAAAACTATGCTTTTAACCACCACATCCACGACAGAAGAGTAAGAGACAGGAAAGTATGAAGTAAGTCCACTCGGTTCTGGGTTCAGGAGAAGTTTTCAAAGAGGAGGAAAACCATGAACAAGTACGAGCTTTTCTCCTCCAGAAACTGGTCACTTAGACTCATGCTGGCGGAACGCCTTTGTCACACCATGCCTGGTCAGAAGACTCGGTGGACACTGCTGACCCCTGACCCTTCTGTGCCCTCCAGAGCCATCTTACCTAACAGTTGGATCTTTCTGTGTAACTCAACCACCTGAGAATGCACAGTCGGCTTCCCTACACCGCTGTGGAAGGGTCCCGCCTTGGAACGGTGTGGGGGCCAGGCCTGTGTTGCGCTCTTGCCTCGGGGGCGGCCGGGCTTGACCAGAGCCTTCATGCCCTTGACCTTGGAAGATGGCGTCGAAACCTGGTCTTGAGTAGCCGGGGGGTTGGTGGAGGCCAGCCTGCACAGGGGAGACGTCATGACTGGATTGGGGCCGGGGCCCCTAAGGGTTAGAGGGGGCAGCTACGAGTCAGTCGCCCTTGTCCAGGATCCCTTGGATTCCTCGGGCTCTGAAAATGCACTTTCCAACCGCTGGGCAGTTGCTCTCAGCATCTCCCGGTTGCTAGGTAGCCGCTAACCCCTCCTTTCTCCGATGTTTCCATGGAGAGCACTCGCGTTCCATGCCGCCACTCTCATTGGCCGATGCTGCGCAGGGCGGGGTCGAGCGGCTCAGCAGGGCGGTGGGGGCGGACACTTTGGAGTCACGTGCTCAATTATTTCCCTCCATTTTCCCTCCGCCCCTTCCGCCGGGGGTTCGCGGGCATGTTTCAGGAACTTTTCCGGCCGCAACAGCCGCCACTCCCAAGATGGAGGTAGGTGGCGCCGCCATTAGGAGCAAGCCTTCCGAAATAGCCTCCCTCTAAGACTTCACAGTCCAAGATGGCCGTCTCGATTCCGGCATCACCCCCGCCGTTGCCACTCCAAACATGGCGTCCATGAGTCGTCGTTCCCGGTGCACGACGCACGACCGGAAGTGACGCATACCCGCCTTTCTCGCTTTCTTTCTGCAGCAGGAACCGTGATTGCCGGGATACCGGGGCGGGGGGGCGGCGCGGTGGCCATTGACCTTTGCCCTGACCTCGTGTAAGTGATGAACTTAGCGCGTGGGAAGGCACCCCGATTTTCTCTAGGGGACATCCGGAGGGTGCACGTGTTTGTGGGGGGGTTGTTAACTCCGTTGGCCTGTTGGCGGGAAGTGGGGCTACTGGGAGCGGAGGTTTGGAAAGCCCCGCCACTGGTTTGAACAAAGTGAGACTCTCCTCCCCGGCCAGGATTGCAGGGATACCCTCCCCTCGCCTTCGCCCCTTTCGGAAGCCTGGAAGCTGTGGAGGAATCCCATGGGCTGGGAGTAGCCTTCTGCTGATCCGGCGCCCCTTCCTTGCCGCAGCGTGGGGACCCAGCGCCTGTCCCCAAGCCTGCTTTCTCCCGCGGAACCCCCTTTCTGGCCTCGGAGCTTCCGCTGAAATGTTGCTGCCGCTGCTGCTGCTGCTGCTACTACTACCCTTCTGTGGGGCAGTGGAGGTCAAGAGACCCCGGGGCGTCTCCCTCACCAGTGAGTCCTGTTCGCTGTCTCGCCGGGCTGGGGGTGGGAGTGGGGCGTGGGAGGGGCCAACCTGGGACCCCTGGGATAGGCTTTTACAACCTTTTGCCTCAGTTTTCCCGGCAGTGCCCCGCTGGTGGGGGCAGGGGAGCAGAGGTGGTATTTGATGGAGAAAACCCCTTTCTGCGCTGTGCTGAGCCTCTTGCACTCCCACCCCCCATCCCCCAGACCATCATTTCTACGATGAATCCAAACCTTTCACTTGTCTGGACGGTTCGGCCACCATCCCTTTTGATCAGGTCAACGATGATTACTGTGACTGCAAGGATGGCTCAGACGAGCCAGGTGAGCTTTTCGTGCATTCATTCATTTAGTGAGCACCTGCTAAGTGCCAGACCCGGCCCTGCCCTCCCATGGCTCCAGGTTGAGTGGGCAGAAATAGGCATGAAGTCAGCGGTCAGTGTTAATGGTGGGGATAGCTGTGGGAGCGCAGAGGGTCCCCCCACCCCCCAGTCTGGGGGTCAGGAAAGGCTCCTGGGAGGAGGTGAGGTTTCAACTGAATCCTGAAAGTGCTAGCATGTGCAGACCCCCTGAGGTGGGAGAAAGGGTGGGGCCAAGAGCACCTGGAGACAGGTGACGGTGGAACCTTGTTCTGAAGGGTTTTGATGAGGAAAGGCAGGAAGGAGCTTGGAAGAGCTTTATTTCAGTTCTGGAGTGTGCAGCTCTCTCTCTCTTATGGATGGTGTGTATCTGGCCCTGAGTGGACTCCGGACACCTCTCTCTCCCCCAACAGGAACCGCTGCCTGTCCTAACGGCAGCTTCCACTGCACCAACACTGGCTACAAGCCCCTGTACATCCCCTCCAACCGGGTCAATGATGGAGTTTGTGGTGAGTGAGGCCGTACCAGGCTTGGAAAGCAAGGTGGGGGAAGGAAGGAGGCTCTGCCAGGTCTGACCTGGGTCCCGCTTCTGCCTCAGACTGCTGCGATGGGACAGATGAGTACAACAGCGGCATCATCTGTGAGAACACCTGCAAGTATGTGGGTGCCAGGACTCCTCCTGCCACGCTACTGGGAGACTTTGTC